AGGGGGAAGGGTGAATGAATTCTTTAGTTCGCTCGGCTCCATAGGCTTTCATGAAAATAATTGGGTTTTCAGAAGTGTGGAGTCATGGGTAATTGGGCCCCAGCCCTTTCTCATGATAAAGAAACTTTCTGCCACGATGCACTTCTCCTGCCACATACGATGCATTACTATCATCAGTCTTTGGAGGATAGGGGCCTCTCTGGGGGTACGTAGACGATAGCTTCACGACACTTGAGTTCCTCAGTGCCCTTGGCCACACAGGAAATTTCATGGCAATCACTTGCAAAAGTTTGGAGGTATGGAGAATTAAACCCCACCACTCTTTCATGCCAAGCGAGCGCTGCGCTACTGAGCTATACCCCCTCTTTCCAACTGGCCAGCCACATACAATCCATTGCGATCAGCTTGAGCAGGGGCAGGGGGAGGTTAGGGGTAAACGACACGAAGCAAAAGATATCTTCATGATACTTGAGTTCCTCAATGAGCTCAGCTACACGGGACATTCCATAACAACCCTATTCCATGCTAAGGGAGCGCTGTACCACTGACTTACACCCGCGCTGCCAAGAGGGGTCAGTCCTACCTTGTTCACAACAATTCTAAGGACATTTGCTTCCTCTTACTCTGAGTTCAGTCGCCTCTGTATTTATTCGGTTCTACTTTCAATACAATTTCAGCATCCATGTGGATCCCATGCCCCTTCTAAACTCCAACTGAACACCGAATCGATACGAATTAGCGAGGGTAAGTATTGTGCAACGGGTCGGTTGAGAGATCCGCGTTGCGGAATTGTAGGCTCAGCGTGCGCGTGACATGTTCTCTTCGCAGCGCCGCATCGTAGACCTCCTGACCGGCACTTAATTTTGAACCTTTTTCACAAACAGTCCTCAAGAGAACCTTTTCAGCCTACCCAGAAGAGCGCTGCACGTCATTTTCGGAGCCATTGACGCTAGAAAACGATGTCTATGAAAGTGACAGCAAGGAAGATTCAAAGCAGCCTCGTCGTAAGCCATACACGGCCGAGCCATCCTTCGTCAAACGAGAGCAGCAGCAGCAGCTCGCCTATTAGCTCGCGTGAAAGGAGCCCTGAGAACAGCGATTACACCCACGTTCACTGGGTCACCTCAAGCGATAAATCGGTAGGGCAGTGCCAGCCTTGTTTCATATGAGCTTTTCCTTATACGGTTCCAATCAGGGCCGCCCGACAAAGAGACAGTGCGGTGAAGGAGCTGTGCTTCACGAACTACAGGATTTGGAAAGTTTCTTTGGGCTCAGAAACACCAACATCGGCGGCGAAGGCAACACCGCGGTTGGCGGCAAGGCCTATTCTGAATGGTTTGCACAAAATTTTCATTTTCCTAAGTACCTGCAGAGTAGCTAAATAGCTCACATTCATCCCATGAGCCAGTCGTACTGCTATGAAAAGGCCATGTAATTCCCAAGATCAGTGGAATGCATATTCCTTGCCCAACCCGTCTCGCAACCACCTCTCTTGCTTCTTCGGGTATGGCCTTAGTTTTACTCCAGACACGCGTAGAAAATTTTTCAGAAACACAGTTCACGTTGAACAGATGGAGAGGACATGGGCGGAGATCCATGAAAATCGCGACTTCCTCATTGGCCTCCTCCTTACTATGTTAGAAAGAGACGTCTACCAATGAGAAAGGCGCTCTGCTTATGTGTTCCCATCCATTTCTGGCCCGTTTTGCGGAATATATCTTTAATGCCTACGGAATATGTGCGGAATATTAATGAGGCGCAGGTGGTGTAGTGACAAGTTGCGCGCTTACCACTCGCGCGGTCCTGGGTTCAAATTGCGGGTCGACTTCCGCCTGGATCGACTTCCGCTAGGCCAACCGGACCTTCTATCCTCCGGGGTCGGTAAACTGGTACCAGATCGGACTGGGAGGATAAGAACACTTATACTGTATATTATACTATATACTGCTACTTGCTCATCGGCCGGCCCCAGCAGGTCAACATCGCATTCAGTAACGTCAGCCACTGCGGCATTGATTCAGCCACTGCGACTATGATCATTTTATGTCCTTAATGCACGGAACTCTCATAACTCAAATAGTGTCCGGCTACTCTAATGAGGCCTTCTCGGTGAGCATTCTTCAACCACTCCGTGCCCCGATCCGACCCTTATATCAAATAGCTCTTCCTCCCATGATTATAAATTTAGGGAAAACACTGGATACAGTATTCCCGAAAACTGCGCGTGGTGTTTTGGCGAGGAACCGCACGCGAGCCTACACAATTTACAGGGACATCCGAGATGAGGCCAGGAAGCGAGAGCGACGCAAATTTCGTTCTCCACCTGTGCTGCCCAAACGGCATATGAGTGGTAGTGTGTGCGCTCGGCACTCCTAACAATAAGCACTCCATTTTACGCGCAGGTTAGGAGACCAGGGCACATCGTTGTTGGGGAATCTCCAACAGGGGTTCGTATTTGGCCGCCAAGAGAGGGGAGGGTTCGTATTTGGGTTTATAGTTGGTTTTTCTCGCTTCACGGACGTTGTAAGAGGGGTGGGGTCTTACTTGGTCATTGTGTTGGAGGGAGGGGGTCGTATTTACTTTCTGGCCTTTCTAGGAGTGCTTGGGAGTGGTGGCTGACTTTTCGTGATTTTCCTGTCAACTCCCCCCCCCCTCCCCTCCTCCGCTCGACAGCAAAATTTTTTGGGAAAAAGGAGGGAAGTTTTCGGGAAATTTTGGAAAAATGGTGGAAGGGATGGGACGTATTGTCTCGCTTTTCCTGCATTACATGTGCTATTTACCCCTTCCCCCTCTTCCCCCCCCCCCGCTCGACGGCTCAATTCGATGAGAAGGAAAAGAGGGTCGGAGGGGGGGGGGTGTCGTACCAAGCCCACCCCGAAAAAAATTGGGGGGGGGTCGTACAGACTCGACTAAAATCCTCAACCAGTGATGTGCCCTGTAGGAGACTGTGTTCCGCATGTTTTCCCAAACTTATAGCTTAGTCTCCCCGTCCAGTCGTTTTGTATAACTAGTCATGATTAAGTGCTGACTGGCGAAGAATCAGAGAATTAGGCTGGAAGCCATGGACAGGCAAGGGATAAGGACTCAGGAGTCGTCTGTCTCCTAGTTACTGCTCAATTTCAGCTGTTCGTGCTGTTATACTACTAAATGCTCAAGCTGTAATGTGGCTAACAGCAGTGAATCCACGGGCACAACGGCGAGACTGATTTGTGAATGTCCTGGTTAGTACGATTTTTTCGTTGCCATGTGCGGTCTCATTCGATGATGGCAAGTGATTCGCCCAGATAAGCGGAGCAGTGAAGATGTTAGTCAGGAGTTCCGCGTTGCGGCACCGTGGAGCTTCTGATCGACACCCACAGTCATGGAGGGTACAAACATTGTTGTGGTGAAACAAATGAAGGGGGTCGTACTTGCCGCTGGGGAGGCGGTCGCATTTGAGAGAAATTTACCCCTTCCCTTGCTCTAGTTGATGGCACTGCCAAAGTTCTATATAACTTCTATGCCCCAAAGTTGAAAATAGTAGTTGGCTGCTAACGACATCCCCCCTTCTCCGCCACTCGACGGAAAATTTTTGGGGAAAAAGTAGAAAATTTCCGGGACGTTTCGGAGAAAACTAGTAAGGAGCTGGGAACATGTAGGAAAGTGGTAGGTAGGTGTTGGGGAAGAGGGGATCGTATCGAGACCCAGGGGAGGGGTTGTACGGACATCACCTTTTCACACATCAGGATGCTGAATCCTGGCTCTATACCAACCATTATCGATTTCAGAATGCCGCAATTCGAAGGATTACAAACCCTCATCCAGGTACTGAAATTCTTCTTTCTAGAAGTTTCTACTGAAATTCTTCTTTCTAGAAGTTTCTACTGAAATTCTTCTTTCTAGAAGTTTCTTTTATTGGGAACCTACTGAATATCCCACTTTGATACATCACGATATTTTGTGGACCTATCTCTGGCACAGCCCAGTGGGCACACCTCTCAATGGACGCGGGCTTTGTGCTTATAGTGCTCTCCTTCCTGCTCTTCCTTCCTGCTCCCCAACAACTGAGGAGCAGGAAGGGAGAGCACTATAAGCGCAAAGCCCTGAGCGTCCATTGAGAGGTAGCAGGCCAGGATCTCTCAGGGCAGGATTTCAGCGTGTGGGTTGAATGTCAGCGTTCTTCCAACCTCGCTCCAGAACGGCTTCGCCTACTTATGAGGCAGGGACACGTCATCGGGAACTCAGAGGGTTAGCCTCTGCTTCCGCCTTTAAACTGTGATGGTACCTGCATTGCTACACAGAGCACCCTGCGCTATGAGGCCCTTTATAGTTTTGCGTTCTGTCATATTTGCTCTACTCTTCACTTCCGTTTCCTTTCCCAAAACTCATTATTCCAGGTCTTCTTCCACAAGCAGTTCATCCTCGTCGTCCCCGTCTCTGGTACGAACTAGCCTCCTCGTCAAGCCCTGGTCAGCTGATCGTTTCCATAGCTTCCTAACCTCCATCCTTTGGGAAGTACTGATTCCAAAGCTTCAGGTCATCACCCTCTTGCCCTTGTGTAGAAGACTATATCAGATACAGTACCAATCCCTCCCATTCTATGGTCTCCGTTCCAAGTATTCATGGTTCCACGGCTAATGCAATGCCTGCAATGCCTCTTGGTGAGTTGGTCGAAAATGAAAGCGAAAATGTATGGCGCAGAAAAGCACAGCGTATCCATCGGTCGTGCTTTTCAACTCCTTGCTTATAGAATCTCCTTGTAACAAGAGTTGTGATCAGTACGTGACAGCACCGAACGGAGTGACGAGCACAGCAAGCGGACCTCGTGAGGACAGCCGTTCGGGTGGACGTGACTACAGAAGACCAACAGTCCGCGATATTTGCGGGCACGTGAAATCTTCTTTCTGATTTGTGGTCAGGAGATCTGCGTTGCGGCGTGCGCGACATTTCCAAGGTACTCAAACGCTGAGCTTTTTCGTACTAAATCAAGTAAGTCCTACTGCAAAGGCTGCTACGTCGCTCGCAGAGTCATTTTCGCTGTGGCGCCGCAACACCGATTTCCTAGCCCACCTCTTTTTAGTTTCGTTTTCCTTGCTTTGATTGTTGCTCCGCTTTTCAGACCAATAGACTCTCATAATGTGTCCAATACAACAATGACAGCTCTCCCTATTTATGACCCATATTGCCAACGTAAGTGTAAATTTTAACTGAGAATGACAAGTGGAGGGTAGTGGACACGATGGCTGGGGGCGGGCGGTTACTCCCAGTGCCATTGGTGGAGAGGCTGAGTGGGATGTGGCCAAACCCCTATTACAGCCCATCCACTAATGATGTTGGCGCAAACCCCCGCCCTGAGCCATCGTGCCCGCAGCCTTCAAAGATCCGTTTCATCAGGGTCTAGCTTATCCTCTAATAACTTCATCTCCGCCAAAAAGTGAGCATTTCAGAGTGCTCTGAAGCTCGCTTCGCCGATCGATTGTGTGAAACACTGGATGACGAGTTAGTAGATATCTGAAGAACGCCTAGAAGCGGAGTTCAGCTGCCCGTATGGGAGGGAGAAGCTATTCGTTGCCTCTTCCTCACTGGCGCTCCTCCCTTCTTTATCTTCTCAGAAGTTGCGGTGCACCAATGAGAAAGGCAGTATAGTTATCCTGCTCCGCCCATGCTAGCTGGCCTGGACTAGGTCTAGGCCTTTACGTGCAATATCTCCATCGCCATCTTTGTACCAAACCAAAACAAATTCTGTTCATTCAGTTGCTCCTGCACTCCAATCATCCGAACAAGTCCACGTGGAAGCATTTCGCTACTTAACAGCTCCACACCTACTCCTCTATTCGATTATAGAGGTGAGATTCTTTTTGAAACGGTGCTCGGATACTTCAACGTTTATCACATTTCAATAGCACGGAGCCATTTGCAAGCTATCTATGAGGTGGCATCTGGTTCCATCAAGCTTCCTTTATACAGGGGGGGCCAAAAAAAAAAGTCATTTTGCCTCCATGACTTTCAAGGCGCTATAAGTTACACTTTATTAAATTTTTATCGGACATTCTACCATCATTAAAGAGCACATTAAATAAATACTATATATCATAACTTCCGCCACCCACAGCTTTCCTGGCAGATGCGCCAATCGAGCAGATTCGCCTGCGCGAACGTGCGGTGGGTACCTGGAGTTGAAGCGGACGAGTAGTGCGATTTCTCCCGCCAACCGTAGACCACCCTATCGAACTCCGGCCCGAACATAGTTAAGTCTAGCGGGATTCCAGAGTCAGAGGTGGCATACTTTAACATTTGCATCTTCTTCAGGGTACGAAAGCGCGCCTTTCATTCGAAAGTCGAGAGAAGTTTGTTCCAAAACCCTTCGATTCCATGGTTGTGCACCAAAACCTGTAGCAGTACACGGTCTCCAAGAAGGTACGAGCGACAACATGTGGGGAGGATATTCTTCTCGAGTTGCTTGATGTAACCGCCAGCGCTCACCTTCAGTCGGGGTCTACAAAGAAAATATCGGTCTTCCAGACCTTTTCCCTCTCTACCCCCCCTTCCCCACCCGCCACAAGGTACCCCTAGCCGGTCCATACCATCAACTCGCGCCTCGGCGAATACGGTGAAGATGATGTCCTAGACCGTAGCGACGTTGCCGTAGCTGGTCGATGTGGGAGGTCTTGCAGATCAAGAGTACTGACCTCCAGGTAGCTATCTGTGGATGACTTCATTCAAGAAGTTTCGCAGCTGTTTGGAGGCGACGTGAATTCCAAAGGTGTTCTCCAGTCAGGCCGCGACTGGAGATGACTTCATATTTTTGCGCGTACATGAAGGCGATTGGCGGCAGCGTGCTCCAGCTTATAGAGGAAGATCTTGGGTATCTTCCACTCTGGTACTCATATCCACTTCCCCTGTCTGGGCTGCGAAAACTTCGTTGATATGTGGCTCGGCCGAAATGACTTTTTTGCCCCCCCCCCTGTACATTGCGTGCAGCCACATCGAGACCACCTGGTCCACCAGCGACCAAATCAGCCCTTTCGAGACGTCAATCAAGCGTCAGCTATTACGAGTATAGATTACCGATCCCCCCAGCGAAAGGACATGCGTTTGATACTTGGCGGAAGCATAAGGGCGTAAAGCGCATCCCAGCGTACGCACGCGCCAAGCGATTAAGTGCTTGATTGATGTATGCATCATTCGATCTAGGCGTTCCAGAGTACGCTAGCGGTCCACTGCGCGTACGCTACACCTAAACGCTGGAAAGCGCCTAAGATCTGATATGGCATCTCTTTCCCCGGCAACGCGACTTGGCTGTACGAATGGGATGTCGCCCTGCGCTACGTACACTTCCGCAAAGTATAAACGCAGCCGAACACAGCATCTACTAGGGTCTACCAGCGCCCAGCAGCGGATTATCAGCATCTCGAGGGACTAGAAAAGTATGGATCACTCGCGGAGCCGCCACTGGCGTCCAGGAGTAGAGAGTATGGGGAAGTAGGAGGGTAGCAAAGTGCTGGTAGAGTGTGGTATGTAGGAGGGGGGGGGACAGCTCGATTAGGCGTGTGCAACCACACCATACTACTATACAACACCATACTCCTAGTCGCTGGTGGACGCTGGTAGACGCTAGATCGATATCCATCCTTTCGTAGCCCCTCGAGTCGCTGATGGTCAATGGCGGACACTGGTGGACGCTGGTGGTCGCAGAGAGATGCTGCCGCAAAGTATGAATGCACCCCCAATTGCACGTTTTGTCGCACATCGCGCGCACGGAAAATCGATTCTACATGCTGTTTATTCAATATGCATGTTCTTCTTCTTCTTCTACCTCTACTTAGCGTTGGTCCCTCACCGTAGCAGAGTCTCTTGCTCTTGCGAGAAGTCGTCACTTCCACCTATTTAAGGCATCTTTGGCCGTGGCCATAACATCAGCGAGGCCTTTCTTGCAGACGTCCTTCCACCTCTCCTTTGGGGCTCTTTCTTTCTTGATCCTGTACTTCAAGGTCCAACGCCTTTCTTATCGGGTGTTCCTCAGGCGTCCTCAGTACGTGCCCATACCATCGCACTCGCTGCTCTCGTGCCTTCCGCTGGGTTGGAGCTGTCTGTGTGGCGGCCCTGACACTTCTAACCCTGCAGTTGAGTCCAGCCGTCGACTCATCTTATTTTCTTCATTTCAGCACAGTTAAGTCCCTCATAATACTTGCCGGGCCAGCACCGGCTGCCATGGAGCATCAAAGGCCCAGCCACTGCCTAGTACACCTTGCCTCTTAAGCGTTCCGGAGCACGAACGGTCGCAGAGTATGCCGGTGGACCCTCTCCATTTCATCCGAGCCGCGTTTATACGGGCGTTTACTGACTGTTCCACGACCATCAGAGGCTAGACCGCTCTCCAAGCCGCTCTTTCGATAGTTTCCCCAGGGCGGTCTGCAATGGTTTCGGTACTTCTTCCGGAGCTCAGGAACTTGGTCACCCTCACGTTCAACTCTGGAGACCCTTCTCAGCCAGTAAGCCCTGCCATTCTTGCACTTTGCCACGCTCTTTTTCTGGCTTTTGTGCTGCTTTCGACAAAACGGTGTTCACTCTGTGAAGTTCCTCAACTACCTCAGCCTTGTGGACCAGCAGAAAATGTGTGTGGTCTAGACTCGCACTGCTTCACCGCTCCCTCGTCCCGTCTAATAACTTGGCACCCAGACTTTGCCCAAACTCTCTTTGTTTTAAGATACCGTAATGGACGACAGGAACAAGGATAACCTATCGAACTATATAGCTAAATCGCGAAAGAAGGGTAGAACAATCAGAGATTCGGTGATGCGTTGGGTCAGATACAAGTAGGTGTTGATATTGTACTGCTCGAGAGCAGCCGACGTGATTGTCTGGGCGATGTTGGGCCTACCATTGTGCCCTTCCACCACGTGCGCCTCTCCTTTCACCAGAAAAAGTGGGGCCAGTGAGGGAGGCACAGTCGTAGGTCTGACTCCGCCCTTACAATCATACAGTCAGTGTGGGCTGTGCCGTTGACCTTCATTATAACTCGCTAGGAAAGTTTTTTAATGATGCAGAAACTAATGAAAACATTTCACAGGTCAGAGCAGTGCAGAAGTCGAATGCGCAGCATGCAACAGGCACAAAATCGCTAGAGAAAAGAGAGTCGGAGATGAGCTGCTCACTGTATTACATATTATTGTTACAGTTATTCCAAGTAAAACTGATTTTATACAATTTTCGTGTCAAGAGCAAGACATTACTGTACATCCCGCAGCTGAGAAGGCTGTGCTTGCTGATTTGCTTGACAACAGTGCAGAAATGGAAGTTCATCTGTCGGCGAAATGATCGGGTAGTTCCAGTCCTTCCTGATGCCATCATCCTAGCAAGAAGATACGGTTTTCAACTGTTTTGTGCCTCTGGAGAAGCTACTGTCTGTGGGCAAGTTTAAGTCAGTCGGTTCGTCTGCCCTCTCACCTAGACAGCATGGCGTGGCTAAGCATAGCACCGGCTCTTTCCATGGTTGGGTCGTTTGCGTGCAGCTTCCTAGGGAGTGTCGCTCTGGTGTCACAGCACTTGTCCCGCCACTCCAATTAATTCTTCATAGGCTAACTGTCTTTTCTTACTG